TCCACAGCCTTCCCCTCGTCCACCAAGCAAGCAACCTTGTCATAAAAGGAGATGAGATTGGTCAAGCGAGCACTTTCCTTCTTCATCTTTTTTCATTCCAGCAATTAGGGATGGTACAGTGATCTTGGGCCTGTGAAGGCCAACACCTTTTCTCAGAGCTTTCCCAGAAACAAGCTGGAATTCCCAAATCACCCTGAGTGCTCACAGGCTGAGTCTAGCAGATGCAAGAGGCTGTTTCTTAAAACCTCGGCCTCTAAATGCCTGGACCAAAGTGATTTCGTTTACTACATTTTCCCGATATACCTTATCCCATTTCTGCCGGGTTTGGCGTAAATCACCGTTCCATTTTGTAAAGGTACATTTATTTTTCCTTCTCAAAGGCTATTACATTTATCTGTCAAGCCTAACAGTGCTGGGCCCAAAAGATTTCAGGCTTTTATATAAAGCAACTGGAGATGGAGCAGTTTGTGCAGTGGAAGGAATGCACGTGCACAGAGAATCACAGTCTCAGGCAGTAAGCCCTCCTTTCTCAGGAGAATATGGAAATAAGATTTCTTTATCAAACAAAAGAAAAAGAAGAAAAAAAAGAAAAAAAAAAGAAGACCCCAGGATAGGGGCATCTTCCCTGGAGCCAGAAAGCTGTCCCGGCCCCACCTGTAAGCACTTCTCTGGGAGCATGAAGTGCAGGAAGAGAGCTGGGGGATGTGCGTGGCTTAGGGAAGCTCTCTGCAGACAGAGGACACAGTTCAATTGTGACTACACAGGTGCAGCCAGAATGAGAGGAAGCAGATCATTGCTCATTTAGGCAGCAGGTTGGAGTCCTGGGGCCTTCAGCAGCAATCTTTTAGCCTGTTCCTCTAGGCCAAAGTGCTGGTTTTCTGCATGAAAATAAGTAACCCATCAACCACTGGTACGTGTGCAGCTGAAGTCATCTGCAGTTCAAAGTGAAGATTAGTTTTCAAATAACCCTTTTTGTCAAAGCAAATTAAAAGCAGTTGGATCTCACTGAATGCTCTCTGCCCTGATGGCAACATGAGAACATCACAAAATTATTCCCAGTATGATTGCTGACAGACAGGAATTATTATTGTTTTGAATTACAAATAGCACTGAACAGGAAGAGAAATTACAACATCAAGAGCAGCAGCATCTAGCATATTACCAAACAGTACACTCCTGTAACACCAGCAGCAACTCATTTTCCTATTCCTCAGAGTGCCAAGTGTCCCCAAAAAGTGCTTGCACTGGCAGATGAGAGCACATTTATTCCTTTCCTATTATCAACCTGAACTCTGGTTGGAGGGTTTGGAGCAGATGTTTATGGCCCAGGAGTGTATAACGTGATCCCTCAATAAAACTCAGCTGTGGTTTTCTTGGTTTGCCTGCAGAAATGTTACCTGCAGCACATTAGGCAACAGTGCCTGTGAAGCTGCAGAGTTTTGCCACTCGGGACCAGCACAAAGACATCTAAACTGAAAAAGCTCATAAACTCTACTGCCTTTTCTGTAATTTGCTAAATATTTCCCCTGCTTATTCGATAGAAGTACAAAATTCTATGTATACATGAAATAAAAACAGCCCTACCCAAATAAAACTCCACTGCAAAAACAGTTGTTGGAGGGAGAAAATGAAACAGATCTCACCAGCACATCCTGTCCTCCTTTTCCAGCCACTCAGCCTACCTCAGTGCTTTTCAGCTGACGTGTCCTGCTCCAACAGCCCTTTCCCCAGCCCCAGACTTCGTTGCTACAATAACCCTGCTGATGCCAGGGAGCTAGCCCTGGAGTGCCCCTTTCTCACAGCTGGTCAGGTTTCCCATCTTGATGCCCAGCCAGCTAGCAGGCCACAAAAATAAAGCCCAGCATCGAGGTACATTGGTAGTTGTTAAAAGAAACTACCTGAAAGGGATGAGCGGGTCAGCAGGGCTTTTGTGTGAAAGATCTTGCAGCTGGGATCAGCTCTTTAAGAGATCAAGATCCTGACACCATGTCTGTTGCCAAATTCCATCACTAGATCGCATACCCCGCAGACACAGCTCTTGCACAGGATGCTCCCCAGCATGCAGCCAGTGTCACTTTGGGCACTACAAGCATCTCAGAGGCTGTTCTCTGCCAGCCAAGCACCCTCCAGGAGAAGCAGAGGGGCTCATCCTGAGCTACAGAAAGCTGACGGGAGTGTTAGGCTAACTCTGGCGAGCTGTGGCACTTCCAGCTCCATCCCCATCCCCATCCATCAGCCAGGCTCCCAGCACCCTGAGGAGCCTGGACCATCTGGCAAAGGAAAAAACAGTCTCCCCAGCCTTAATTTGCAATAAACTGATACCAGGAGGTTGACCTGCCAAAGGCAGCCGTGCGGGGGAGTGGGAAAGGTATCAGCACATCTTTTATTTCCTGCCCTTGCAATACACATGAGGTGAGGAGCACTGTGACAGATGTGGTGCCTCGTGAAGCTGATGGAGAGGTAAAGAGGAGCTGTTCCCCAGGAGTTATTTCTGCCCTTGCTTTCTGTTGGGGAGAGCTGTGCTGCGACCCTGCCGCCGCTCGGGGAATAGAGCTAATGTCCTTCCTCAGAGGTGGGTATGCAGGCAGCCCTGCGCCTCCCTCCTGGGCACCTGCAGTGACATCTCATGCTGTTTTGCAGCAGTTGCATTTCACAGTGACTCAGTAGATACCTTAATGAGAGCGGGATAATCTACATACATCTATTTTGGCTCCAAAAACAGGAGCCAATGTGGAACATCAGACACACCGCCAGAGCTTTGTCTGCCCACCCGTCTTGTTGGCCCTACAGCACTTCCCTCCTGATGACTTTTCATTGCCTTGGGTGTCGCTCCTGACAGTAGATGGCAGCAGATGGGTAGCACCCGGGCCGTGGCCGGCTGATGAAGTCCATTAAAGCTCCCCAGAGTTCCCCATATCCGGCCTCTGGTTTCTCCCTGTCCCAGCGAAGCTGCTCCACATAGTGTGGAAATGCCTCTTGCCCAGGGTTTCTGGTTTCAGGGTGGCGTGTGCTCACATGCAAGACAAGGAGAACAGCGTTTACCCACCTATGTCTCCAGCTACCTTAGTATAAAGCATAATTTGGAAACAGAAGGAAAAATAACTAACTTTGTCAGCAGCAAAGTTTCATTTTGACAGCCTCCTTGCAAGGCTGGCTTTACCTGGAACACGCTTCATGACAAGCGTTCATTGCTCACATCCCCAGCTGTCTGTGGGAAGTCATGGCCATGCTGCAGCTCAGCCCCTGGCAGCTCAGTCACCATCCCTGCAACCTAAAAGCAACAACCTCAAAACTACCCCAGCCTCAAGCACACAACAGCTCCTCTGTGCTTCTTTCCTCCCTGCCACCAAAACCTGCACCTTTTGGTTCCCCAGGCCTTGGGTGGTCCCCAGGTTCAGGTGACTGCTCATCCCATTTGTGGCCATCACACATACACGCATCCCCCGTTGCTGGCTGCCCTCCCCTGGTGACCTGTCTCCAAAGAACCATCTCTCCAACCTGCGAAAATGAAGATTGAATGAGGTTTGGGCCTGCTCACCGGTCCTGTTCATCCTCTCCCCGCTGGGTGCCTGCTTTCCCCAGCTCCTTGCCCATCCTGACTGCTGGTTTGGTGATGAAATCAAAGATCTTCTGAGAGCTTCTGGGATGGCCCAACCCAGAGGCTTGCTCAGCCTATACCAGGATGCGAGCGTGGTGTTAGGCTGTGGGCTCCTCCAGGCTTCATGCCCTGGTTTGTGCCACCCAGCACAGGCATCTGTCTCCAAGCAGGCAGAGAGAGACCCATCCCGAAGGCAAACTCAGACAGCTGGAGGTGAACACAGGTGCTAAAGGTTTGCTAATTTTCAAATGCTCCAAATTCGCCTTGATATCGTCCTTCACCCCTAGTAACTTGCTTGTCCAAAGTGATGGCATTATAACAAAACGTAGTAAAAACATATGATGGCACCTTGTCTGTTTATGGTATCTATTTTATTTTTCATATTAAATAGTATGTAAAAAAAATAAGTTATGCAGGCAAATATACATAATATACTCTGTAATAAATAGTATGCACAAAAATAGATTTCCTTAAAAACAGTCAGTGTTTTGAAAACCAACAAAACAAAGATACCAAATAAATACATTCCTCCCCATCGAACAGCATCTTTCAGGAACAACGTTTCTTTACCACTTCCCAAGCCATTTATAAATACACAATAATTTAAAAGTCTGTGAAAGAAGAATTGCTCCCTGAGCTCACATCAATAAGAAAAGTGCTTAAATAGGAAGTACAGTCCAGCAATGCAATAAAAATCATTTTTTCCCAGTCCTCAGGGCATCCTCTGGGGCTGGTGAGCACTGTGCCATGCCATGCCATGCTGTGCCAACCATGCTGCTGGCGGGGGCTAAGTGCATTGCTCCTGGAGTGCTGCGCATCGCAGGTCATCCAGCACTTGGAAGATGTGGATGATGGTGGAGGCCTCCAGGCAGCCAGTGGTCTCCTGTGGCAGGGAGAAGGGACTGGTCAGCACTGGAGATGGGGTGCAGCAGGCCCCGTGCAACCATGCGGTTGCTGACACCCCAAAACCCCCTCGCCACGCTCCCTGACTTACTGTTTCCTTGGCTGTCTGCAGCTTCTGCAGCCAGTGCCTCAGTTTCCCGGAGGGCTGATGCAAAGGAGCCTTCATGGCCATCTGCAAGGAAAGCAGCTGTGTAAGCACTGGTGATGTCCTGCGGTGCTGCCATCTGCACCGAGGCTGGTGGGTTTTGAGGGGCACTTACGCAGCCTCGCAGGTCCTCCCGAGCTTGGGTGAGGAAGGCCAGAGGCCGCTGGTGCGTCTCAGCAAACTCAGGGGTGGTGGGGAGCCCCAGCATGGCAATGGTGAGGTCCAGCTCTGCTTCCACCAGCATCACTCGGTCGGGCACCTGTAGGCAGAAGCATCCCAGTCAGGGCCCCAGGGCTTGCCACAGGGTGTGGATGGAGGTGGGACCAGCTGACAGGAGGTCCCGGCTGGAGGGGGGTGTACCCCCTTTTTTAATAGCATCATCTTACTCTTACCGATAGCTCTGCTGTGTTCCACTTCCGACGGAAGACCCTGGTGTTGCATTTTAGTTCCGACAGCAGCATGATGCCCTCCTGCAGGCAAAAACCATGAGAGGGACAGATTGAAAAACTCTCATCTTGATTTTTGGCGATGTTGTGCAACCCTGGTCAGCCTTGAGAGATTTGAAACCAGGATGGACTTTGGCCCAGCACCCTTCTTGTCCTTATACTCTCTTGGAAAACATCCTCCTCATCCCCAAACTGCCCCAGAAAACATCCACCTTGTCACTCAGGCTTTGGAATTTGGCATCCCCTCTGCCTCACCCCCCCACCAGCCCATAGTCCCCCATTGCCAGTGGTACTCACAAACTGTTCCTTCATCTTCTGCACAGCCTTCAGCTCGTGGGGTGCGAGGAACCGGTACTTGGACAGGCTGCAGCTCTTCTGCAGGGCACCCTGGGGGAAGGTGGCCCCGAGGCTGGCCCCCAGTGCCAGCATCAGCAGTGGGGTGAAGCCGAGGTGCAACATTTTGCCAACGAGAGCTTGCCCCTGAGTGGGTTACGATGGGATGAGGGGTCTGTGGTGTAAGAAGCGAGACAAGATGAACCAGAGTGCTCCGGGTTGGATCTGCTAAATCCCTGATGTGGAGATGCCTGACAGTGTTGCTGTGGATCACTTGCTCGGCTGTGGGGCTCCTGTGCTGGTGGATGGTCCTGGGGAGCTGCTTCGTCTTCCTCGCCGTAGCTGCCTCTCTGCCCCATCTCCTCCGGCTTTTATGCTGCTGTGATTGCACTTTCAGGTTGGCAGGAAAATCCACGGCCTGGAGGATCTGGAAAGAGGAAAGTGAAAGCAGCGGGCGGAGGGAATCCCGCTGCTGCAGGTGCGGCAGGTGTGGGCAGTGCCTGCCTTCCACCGCCTCGATGGGGCGAGCGCACCCAGCACCCCGGGGATGCAGGGGATACTCGGGCTGCCTTTGGTGTGCACCCTTCCAAGGGAGCAGGACAGGGGAGGCTGCTGCCACATCGAGTGGTGCAGAGGTGCTGACAAGTACAGGGAAGCCTGGGCACGAGCCAGCCTGGCACCACGACAAACGCTGCAGGAGACCTCCAGGCATGCAGCCCCATGGGGACAGTGGGCTCAGGGTGGCTGGGAGGGTTTTGATGCCTCCTGAGCAACGGCAGTTTGTGCCTCAGTTTCCCCACGGAAAGTGCAGCACAATGGCTGTGTCAGGGAGGGGGCAAAAGCAGCAGCTGGGAGCAGGCACTGCACAAGGTAGGCTGAGGGCATGAGTTTTACATGTGTATTATCCCGAGGGACCAGACTCACTGCAAAAGCACGGAAAAGGGTGAAAGCAGAAGCACTTCCACCTGGCATTTTCCAAGTGGGACTTATGGTTGTGCAGGGAGGCTGCCAGAGATGAGCAGTGCTGCCACCCCTACCAGCCACAGGAGCCTGTTTGACCTGGAAACACAAATACCAGGTAGTGACATCTCTCACTGACAGCTGGAATGGTGCCCCCATCCAGCAAAACCCATCCTTCCCCCAAGGTAACCACCATGAACCATGAAGCCATCGTCGCCGTGCTCTTTGTTTTTCCACTCATCATGCATTAAACGTAGAAAATTAGGTCAATACCTGTCTCTAAAAAGCAAATACACGGTAATGCAGCAAGAGGCATAAACACACTGTGCAGTGCCTGACGTGGTGGCCATAGAAGAAGGACCCAAGTTTTAATGTTCATATTTGGAAATAAACTGCTGACTTCAAGGAGTCCAAGCAAACGAGGAAAGTTCTTGCACCAAGTTGTGGAAAGATACACCAGGCAGAGCAGCATGGGCATCCTGTGCCATGTTGTAGAGGCAGTCTGGGACCTCTGGACATCATCTAGTCCAGTCCCTGCTCTAGCAGGGCCAGCTGGAGCTGGTTGCCCAGGATGTTGTCCAGTTTGTAATCTCTCCAAGATGGAGACTCCACAGCCTCTCTGGGCAACTGTGCCAGTGTTTGACCGTCCTCATAGTAAAAAAGTGTTCTCTTGTGTTCAAGTGGACTTTCATGTGTTTCAGGTTGTGCCCATCATCTGCTGTCCTGTCAGTAGGCACCACCAAGAGCCCCTGAGCGATCGCTTCTCCAGACTGAACGGCCCCAGTTCTCTCAGCCTTTCCTTGTAAGAGGGATGCTCCAGATGCTTCATCATCTTCATGGGTGTTCACTGGACCCTCTCCAGTATGTACAAGTCTCTCTTGCACTGGGGAGCCCAGAACTGAACCCAACACTCCAGGGGTGGCCTCACCAGTGCTGAGTAGAGGAGAAGGATCACCTCCCTCAAGCTGCTGGAAACTCCTCCTAATGCAGCCCCAGATACCATTGATCTTCTTTGCTACAAGGGCATGTTTCTGGCTCATGTTCAACCTGGTGTTTCACAAGACTCCCCGAGGGCTTTTTCTCCCAAGTTTCTTCCCAGCTGAGCCCACCAGCATGTCCTGGTACCTGGGGTTGTTCCTCCCCAGGGGCACGACTTTGCACTTCTCCTTGTTGAATTTCATGAGGTTCCTTTCAGCCCATTTCTCCAGCCTGCCGAGGTCCCTCTGGATGGCAGCACGACCCTCTGGTGTGTCACTCACTCCTCCTGGTTTGGTGTCAGTGAACTTGCAGTACCTGCACTGCAGGTACACACTGCATCATTGTGCCGATCATTGATGAAGAGGTGAAGCAGAACTGGTTGCTGACCCACAGGGCTCACTGAGTCCTCCTTGAGCCCCTCCCCTGCCCCAGCAGCATCTCAGAGAGCTCAAGTCTTTCCTGGAAAACCATGAAGAAGAAGAAGAGGAGTGGAGACGGCAGGAAGGGAGTGGCATGGCTTGGACAGCAGCTGTTTCCACTTTGACCAGACCAGATGGAGATACAGCTTGGAGAAGAGTCAGGACAGCAAACTCTGGGGCTAAAGCCCGATAGTGTGGCAGGCCCAGGGCTTCCCTTCATGGCAAGTCACGACATTGCTGCTGGACCAGGCTCCCACCCCAGCTGCCGTGCCAGCCCCCCTGCTGAGGCAGGCTCAGTACTTAAAAGCCTGAGCCCCAAACAGGGCTGGGGTCCTTCACCTGCCCTCTCAGGGAACAGGACAACAGCAGTGTCTTTCCTTTCTCTCCCATTCAGGAAATGCACAGATTTAGAAAAATAATTTTTAATTCAATGCAACTTGTTCACATTCAATGTAACTACGAAGTAAAAGCCCAAACCAGCATAAATAACTTCACTTACAACACCCAAGTGAGGCACAGCTCAGCTGGAATAGGTGGCACCTTAGCAAAAAAGCTCAATGGGTCTAAAAGTGAAGATGGGCCTGGGTGAGAGAGAGGGACCAGGGGTCCTGGCACCGCCTGGAGCTCTTCGGGTCACAGTGGAGTGGCTGGAGGGTGATGGTGGCCCAAAGTCCCACACGGTGGAGCCCACCAGGCTCACAGGACAGGCACTGCAGGGTATTTCCTCCTCCACACCAAGGTACAAGCCAGGCTAAGGTATTTTTGGCACTCAGGTTGGGATCCTCAGTGGCCTCCAGCACCCAGATGATGATGTCCAGTGTCTGCTGTGCTGGGTCAGCCTCATCTGCAGCCCTGGGGACACAGAGTGCGGCTAGATCATCACCCTGGCACGCATGCAGCTCCACCACGAACCACTGGCCCCATGCCACAGGCCCATGTGAGGCGGGCCCCAGCTGAGGGGCCACTCTCAGGTCACCCAGGAGCAGCAACACATCCCTGTGGGACACAGCTCCTTTTCCCTGTCACTGTGGCTTTTATCTTCTGGGTATCATTTCTGGTTGGAGAAGTTAAGCAAAACCTCATCTCATTGCACAGGCAAAAGGAAATCCAGAGGCAACAAAGCAAAAGTGAAAGCTGCAAGTCCAGCTCCCTGACACTTGGGATGACCACAATGAAGGGTTGAAGATCTCCCAGGCTCCTTACTCAGATGCTTGCCCCTCACTCACCACCAGCCATAGCCAAGCTCACGGGTGCCTGCCTGAGTGGCAGTGAGGGCTTTTCCCTGACAGGACGTGGTCTCACCATCCTGGGCAGCAGTGTGCTGGAAAGCGCCTCACATAACGAAGCCACGCTCTGCTATACCTCAGTCCAGCCAGCAAAGCCCAGCTGCATCTGGCATGGCTTCTCCAAATCACGCTACTGCCAGCTCCTGCCACCACAGCAGAGGGTCCCCCAAAGCCAGCGCAGGCTGGGGATGCCATGCTGTGCCCAGTGGTGTGTGCAGGGGATCCATAGCAGTCATCACTGCGGCCCTCGCAGATCCCAGCCTTGGCTGTAAACGGCCCTGTGTTGGGAACACGGTGCAGATGATGACGATGGAGACCCCTCCTCAGCTTCACGCAGCGCAGCAGCCTGGAGCCACTTGAACGTGCTCGGAGCAAGAAATCTTGCGTATGTGGGAGATCCCAGGTGAGAGAAGGAAAGTGAAAACGGGCAGGGCTGCGGGCAGGGTTGGCACCGGGTGAGGCAATCGCCCTGTGACTCATTGGCCACTGCATGGCACAAGCGTGGAAAAGCCTTGGCCGCAAGCCATGCTGCTGGAGCGGGGCGGCAAGGAGCCCAGATTGCTCCTTCCTAACCCATTTTGAAGCCAGTTGGCTCATTTGGGAGAAACTGGCTCGTGCTGAAGTCTTGGAAAAGAAACAGAAAAACAGCCAAAAAAAAAACCCAGCCCAAAAGAGCCAGCTTTAAAAACAAAATCCCTGGGTGATGTGCAGGAGCCCTGCCTGGGTGCCACCACCAGACCTGTCCCACCAGCCCGGTATATCTGTGCCACCGAAGGGCTGCCAGCCCCGCTACGCACCCCACAGCCCTTCCCCGCACTGCTTTGTGCTGCTCCAGCTGACACCGCGCCCGAACACCTTGGTGATGCAGTCCCTGGTGTCACATCACGGCTGGTCACCCATTGCATCATCCCAGAGCGTCCCGCTGAGCGTCCCGCTGGTACCGAGGAGGGAAGGGCTGCGAACTGCAGAGTTAATCTGTGAGCAGATTTAAACAAACTTTTAAATTTAAAGTGAGAAAAGAAACCAAATAAGTGCTTTTTCCCTGGAGCCTTTGTGGCAGCGCTGCAGGTACACGGGGTGTCACTTCCCTGGGGACACCTCCCTGCCCCGGCACAGCT